CGTGATGGTAGGGCGGTGCGGTTGATTGTAGCATTTCGTCTAATTCCTTTTTGGCCTCGTCATCTAAATCGAACAGGGGCGAGCCCACAGAGTCCTGCAGATCCTCAAAATCGCTGGCCGAGTAACTGGCCTCGTTATCCTTATCGATCGACTCCTGCTCAGCAAAGGCCAAATCCTCACCAGTTTCGGAGACAATACGCGTCGCTGGTTTGCTAGTCAATGCGGCAGCAGCAGCTGCAGCAGCGGCCTGCGATGTGGATGCAACCGAATCGTTGCTTAGCTAAAACATTTCGAGAGAAAGTTCGCAGTTTAGACAGAGCCTCGACCAAAGACGTTGCGGGCACAGAACTTACCACGTCGTCTACAAGTGGAAAGGGAGACAGTTGCAGCACGTCGTTGAGCAGCTCATCCAGTGGCAAGCGTATGTATTCACCTGTGGGTGGCAAGAATAGGCATTTAAGTCAAGTCATCTTCGGGCACAAATCAATTGAATAATATGATAGGAAAAAAAAAAAACCGGGCATTAGAGACAAAACCACTTTACTTTCCTTTCTACAATTTTGTAAAACATTTGTAAATATACGAAAATATTTTGATGCCAGCCAAAACTCTCCAGAGTGTCATCAATTTAGCAAAAACTATATGCATAATATCCCAAGAGAAGCAACAAAACTGAACTCAAAGCAAAATAAACAGTAGCACCTCCCAGTGGAATATGATTGCAAATCAAAAAGATCAACAAGATAAATAAACCAGAGTGCAACAATCATTAATCATAAATATCTAAAGATCACAGAGATGCCTGTAAACTGACGGAAGCAGCTGAGAAAATGGCCGAAAACTGTACGGAAAAGTCAATTCCAAGTAAATGCTTAATTTATGATTCGTTTTGACAGCTCCGAGCTCCGAGTTCGAAATGCAGAAATATAAATATGAGGCAAACAAGCGAAAGGTGCTCGAGTCGGGCATGCCCGACTAGCTGATGCCCAGTACCCAGTGCTTGATTAACTTCGGTTTTGTAACATCTGTAACATATGCTGGATATATATATACTCGAAAGCCTACAACTTAGGCGTCTCTAGCTCATATAATACCCGAGATTTGCTATCCAGAGAACCTACAACTAATTTCGATATGCCAAACACATGATATCGATAAAGATTCCAATCGTTTTCTGGAAAACAGGGCGGCAATCGCTGATTCGAATAGTGCTCAAGCTCTGCTAGTTCCCAGGATCTACCAAGAATTGGAGCTGCTGTCTACCTGCATATTACACAGCTCAATCAAATAACTATTCCAAAGCTTCTGTATCGCTTACAATGGCTGAGAACGGAATGGGCCACAACATATTGACCAAAGTTAAATATTTGCATTGGGCTATTGTAGGGCATAACAAAATGGGAAATGGGAGTCTACAGCATATCAGTAATTACTACTTAACATCGCCTTCAGTTCCACGAAAGGTTGTGTCCAAAAGTGGTAGCTCGACAAACTAAATAATAAATATGAATATGTGGCTCAAACGGTCGCAAGAAACTGGTGGGCGCAACACAAAACCAGGCACTCGACCAGACCATATCTAGATAAAAAAAAAATGGGAAAAATAAGGAACAAAAAACTTGGTCGGGTCCGCTCAAGTGCTGCGACGACGCTCACGACCTTTGCGGCTGGCACTTGAGTAGGGTCAGAAAATTAGAATAAATAAACGGGCCGTATGGCTGGAACAATTCTTTCTCAATGTTATTCTTACGATTGGTTACAAAATACATTCCATTGCGACCATTTTCTGGCCAACACACACACACACACACACACACACACACACACACAGAGGGAACATGACTGTTTGGCCATGTTTTTTCTAGGCCTTAGCCTGTTATTTTAGGCCTGGCATTTAATTCGTTCTTTTTTTTTTTTTGGTAACAGTTTGGTTGTAATTTAGCTATGCAGGTGTGCGTGTGTGTGTGTGTGTTAACTGTTTACTTATCATTTTTGGGCTTGTTGTTTGTCTCTTCTGTTCTTAGCCAAGTTGCCTGCATGTTTTGCTTGGCTTGGCCGCATTGTTGTTAAATGTCTATAAAAATATTATTCGATTTGCCTTGCGTTTTGTTTGCTGTGCGCGTGTGTGTGTATGTGTGTGTGTTTGTGTGTGTGCCGTCTGTCACCAGCAATTAAGCGACAACGGCCTAAAAGGTGTTGGACTTTGTTCACATATACGGCTTTATAATATTTCCGTAGCTCGTAAAAGGCGCTGATGGAACAGCTTTTGTTTGAGCTCTTCGCCTCGTTGGGCGTTCTCCAAGTTTTATTTTTGATTACCTTTCAGGAGGTTTCATTCAACCAATGCTTAATGGGCCGGAATTGTCAACAGCTACTAGTGTTTGTGTGTGGCCGGGGGCGTGCCAGTAAAACCAATATGCATGCCTAATCGGATGCTATAGCAACTAAATTGGGTAAACATCCTGGGGGCGTGTGCCGTCGGCGGGGGAGAACACGTTTGATAAAAGCCTTTTAGCCAAATCAAGCGCTTGAAGAAATAAGTTGAATATGTCTCAAAATTAAAAGAAACCTTCTAAGAGCATATATTAAGTGAAAGGAGTTTAAGTTCTGGAGAAAAAATGGAAAGAGCTAAATGTGGTGATATCATGATATGTAGATATAGACAGACAGCTTAGGTTGTTTTTTGGGCATTTTTGAATAATACGCAAGATTCTCTTACTGTTTAAATAAGTTAAGGTAATCAACTTGGAACAGGGAATATGTAGGCATGCCTTTGCTTAAATTTTGGGATCAATGAATTTACTAGTCTAAGGATAAAGAATAACTTCTTTATACAACTTTATTAACTTATACAAGGTTGGCATGAATAGAAAAATTTTTCGTAGGAATTTAAGGAAAAGCAATCCTGTGTAAAAACCCAAGCAATAAATTTTTTGTTTTCTGAGCTCAGAATATCCAATTATTTTAATAAAACATAAGTTAAGACTTTAAGAGCGCCCATTCAGGCATAGATCTCTCTGGAACTATATTCGCAGATCGACTCAAGTTGTTGCAATCTGTCATAATTAACAACAACTACTTCGGTCTCATTGATGGAAATGTTGCAATGTCAGCTGACAAAAATGAATATCAAAATAATGCGGTCAAATCAATAGATTGTTGCAACTCCGTCAAATCAAATCCCCCCTCCCCAAAAAAAAAAAAAAACGAAGGCGATTCGTACAAACCTTTTCTTTATGCAATTGCAATTGCAATTTATGCGAGCGTGGCTGTGAAATATATTTTTGTAATCCAAACAAAGGCAACAAAAGTCGAAAAGTTTTTGCTAGCCTTTTGTTGCGCAGATTGAACACGAAATTGTTGTAATAAATGCCGATTGTTGTTGTTGTTGTTGTTGTTGTGGTTTGTTGTTGTTTTTACAACTCTTTGACAATTATGTAATGTCGGACTATGTGTGTGTTGCAGAATCAACAATCACAACGGCAACAACAACATATAACACAATAACAGTTTCCGCTGCAGACTTTTGCACAATCCGATTGTTCGATATTGAATATGAATTTTTGTTGATTATTTGTTGTTGTTGTATTTGTTGCTTATTTGGTTTTTTGTTGGCCTGTTGGCCTTTTAGAATCGCACAATGGTCACAGTTGAGGCAGTTGGGTTGCCTATTGTTAGCACCAAGTTGCACCCTGTTTAAACGTTTGATAACTCCTATTATTTATGCCATATAGCGAGACTTTCACTTTTTTCGCACTCGATGCGGTTATGTGGTTGCATTTATTGTTGTGTTTATATATTATATATATTTTATAATTTTTTTTTGTGTTTAGTCTTCACACAGTTTGTTGCACAGCAGTTTAAGCCAGCTCAGCGAGTCACCTGACTTGAAAATTGCTTCGTTTTTTTTTTTTTTTTTTTTTGTTTAAATATATATGTGTATATAATTCATTTTAAGCACGCCCACGTTAAAAAACACAGCACAAAACGTGGCTTCGTTTTCTTCTTCTTTGAACGAATTCTTTAGCAGCAAACAAACGCGCGCGCGTCAAGCGTTGAGCGTTTCTCGAGCGTTTATAAAAATTCAAATACGATTCTAAATGCCTTGACGGCGGCTTGGCACCATGGCGGCCGCAGCGACGTCGGCAGCGAAGCCAGCACAAAAGAGAAATGGCGTTGCCAGCTCAAACAGGCGCAACAGCAGCAAGCGCAAGCGAGACAACTATATGCACTTCCTCTCCGTGCAAGTGTGTGTGCGTTTATGCTGCTGCAGCTTCTGCTGCCGCGACGCGGCCTTTGTTCATGCGCACAAGCAGCAGCCGCTTTGTGAGTGTGAGTGTGTGTGTGTGTGTGTGCGTGTGTATGTGTGCTGCAGAGGCGGAGCTTAGCTGCTTCGTGTATATGCATGTATTTGCATTTGTCTGCGTTACTTTTGCTTTTGGCTGTGTTGTTGTTGTTGTTGTTGCTGCTTTTTTAACATGGACGCTACGCGCTTCTTGCGGAAAAACAATGAGAAAAAAGCTAAATAAAAAAAAAACTGGTTTCTACTATTCTATTTGACGGGTTTTCAGTTGTTGAACCTTTTTTTCTGCCGTAGTTAAAAACACGATCTAATCAAGTAATTAAAGTTACGAGTGGGCTTAAAGAAATTTCAAAGCGGCAGGATAAAAAGCGTCAATGGCAACTTTTAATTAAAAATAAGCTAAGGCAAAGTCAAAAATTCAAGAACAATTAAAAACTGTAGAAATTTAGACGAATGCAAAATGTCTTAAAGTGAAGAGGAAAATGAAATAAAACCCAGACAGACAATAAATGCAACTGAAACGCATTAGCATGGAAATTCAAATTTTAAATAACGTAATCAAATAAATACGAAAGTATTCATAACGTTCGAACTACCACATGACATTTAAATACAATATTCAACCAAGTAAAATTTAATTAAAAACAAAGCAAATCTTAGCCACAATTTCTGCATAGCATAAAGAAAAGCCCTTCAATTCATCGCAAATTCAAGATTTAAGTAAATAGTTAAACATTAAGAAACCGCATATAACAAAATATATAAATGATAACTGAACGACAACGGTATTGATATATATACCATGCTTTCTATATATCATGTACTGGCAAATAGCGCAGCTGAAAAGCCTTTAGGCGCTGCCTCAACTCTCCGCCCCTTGCCTGCAATGTACGCAGTTTCTCCTGATGCGTCTCAAGCAGCGCCAATTGATCGGCAAGTCCCGTTAGCTGCTCATTAAGTTCGCCGCGTTTGTGCTCCATTTCGAGTTGGAGCTGTTGCAACGAGCGCGTCAGTTGTTGCCTCACCTGTTGGCCAAAGCCAGCCGCCGTTTGTGGCACACCTTCGCGCAGGCGACGCTGCAAATGGCGCGTGTATTGGGCCTTGAAGCTGCGCTCCTGCGCCCGCGGCGTCCAGGTGACCAGCTCGTAGGCGTAAAAGGAGCCTGCGATTGCGCCCAGAGCCAGCAGCAGACGCCAGCCCAAAACGCGCGCCAACACGCCGCTCAGCAGCAACATGGCGCCCGTGGAGTTGTCAGAGTCCAGCAGACGCCAAGTGTCACTTGCTGGCTTCAGCTTCAGGTGCTCCTCGTGCATTCCATTCAATTGCTTGGGCGGCGCCAGCAGCGGCAGCGGCATCTTGTCCTGAATGCGCTTCATAATGGCTGCCATGCCCCACGAGAAGCGAAACTCGAGATCTGCTTGAAAGTTTGACATTAGCTGCTGGCAGTCGAGGGCGCAATAAAGCTGCACGGGCAGCTCGCTTGTTGGACTCAATTGCAGCACTTGCTGCTGCAGCAGTTGGCCAAGCTGCGCCTCCACTTGCTGCATCAGCTGCTGCTCGAGATGAACGCCCAGCAGACGCTGATAATGCCGCAATTCGCGCTGCAGCTGCGGCTGAAAATTCTGGCGAAACTGCTGCACGGCGAGGGGCAGACGCAAGATTTGCTCTTGCAACAGCTGTGCAGCAAGTTTGATGGTCTGCTCGCTTAGCTGGTCCACTTGCAGGCACAGCTCCTGCTGCCGCTGCATGATTTGCGTTTCCAGGCACTCGTAGCTTGTCGCTAGCGCAGCTTTAGCTGCCGTTTTCTCTGCACCCAGCTGGACCAGACCTGCGGCCAGTTGCTGCAGCAGTTCGTGCAGTTGGAGCAGCATCTCGGCTGCGCCGGCGCAATGCTGCTCGAATTTGGTGCGCAGTGCGCTCTGTGTAATGCACGCGGCAAATTCGCGCTCAAAACTGAGGAACTCCTCGTAACGCTGTTGCGCTCCGGGCGCACCAAAGCGTCGCTCTTCCTCCTTTTGGGGCTGTTGCTGCTGCTGCTGCTGCTGTCTTAGGCGCAGCGTTTCCAGCGCCGAGACATGAAAGATGCGTCTGCGTGCCAGCTCCACGTTGGCATATATGCCCAGCTCCTCGACCAGCAGCTGGAGACAGCGTTGCGTATGTTGCGCCCGCACCAGCTGCTCCAAGTGCGGCTCCAGCGTGGCCGCCGCATCCCAGCGATTGTTGAGTATAAACAGATTGGGCCTGGACAGCTGCTGCGCGACAATGCCAAAGAATTGGCGCTCCACACGCGACATTGTCGACTCGGCATTGAGCACCAGCACAAACACATCCGCATTCAGGCAATGCCGATCGATGCACTCGTCCAGCTGTGCAGTTACATCCACGCCGGGCGTATCGAGCAGCACCACATCGTGCGCCAGCAATCCACAGCTGCTGCTGGGCCAGCGAACGCGGAGCAGGCTGTGGGCGCTGAGCGCTCGACCCGAGTGCGCGCTGGCCAGATCGCGCAGGCAATCAATGCTCAGCTTCTGGCCATCGCTATCCTCGATCATGACATGGGCGGACTCCTGCCTGCCGCTGGCCTCCACCTGACAAAAGCAGCTGGTCGTGTGTCCCATGGCGCTGGGCAGGATGCGTTCATGCAGCATGGCATTGATGACGGCGCTCTTGCCATTCGAGGTGCGTCCGAAGAAGGCGACCTTCATGCGTTTGCGCTGCAACATGGGGCAAATCGCTTTGATTCTCTGTATGCAAGCCAGCAGCTGATCCCGTATACGTTTGTTGAGCAGATCCTTCAGGCCGGGCATGTCCTGCAGCTCAGCTGCCACCAGCTGCAAGTGGCTGGCCATATCCTCGTATATATTCAGCAACTCCAGCTTGGCCTGGCCAAATTCGCTGAGCATTGTGGACATTTTTGGTGCTTATTCAGTTTTCCTTTCTTTTTTTTTTTTTTACAAAATATAAATTATTTGATCTTCAGTCTCTGGCATATATTAGCATTTATATATATTTGAATAACAAGTTTTCAGCTGAAAATTCTATTTTGATTTTGTTTCAAAATGAGTTTTCGAACAAAGCGCTCGATTACATCATTTGGCATATATTCAATACTCAGTTATTGCTTGAGAAGTATTCAAAAATCAATTTTTGTTTTCGATTGAGTTTGAGATTAATTTCATTTACTAACTAAAATATATTGAGAGCTAAAGTATTTAAAAGGAACTTTGTAGAGAATTCTTTTGAGTTTCTTTGAGGTAAGATTAAATTATCGAAAATACGATTTGCCATTGGGAACTGAAGCTTAGTTACCTAAGATTTATAATAAACTAAAAGCTAAAGAAGTTCAGTAAAATCTTTAAATTTAATTTTTTTCTTATTCTTTAAATATTTATTGCCAATTATAATATTTAATATTAAGTAAATTAAAAGGCCGTTCTGTTTAACGACAATTTCGGTATAACTAGAAATATAATTAAACTGAATATTTGAAAACCGTCCGATCACACCCGGCCAATTAGTAAGCCTTCCAATTGACCTAAAAATTTCAACAAAAACTCAGTCAAAAGTATTTTCCCAATAAACAAAAATAGCGCACACAAATTTATTTACACAAAAATTAACACAATTACCGCAATCAAATGGAGGCTGGTTTTTTATTTTGATTTTTAACACTATCAAAAAAGAGCAGGCAATATGCATTAGTGGGCCACTGAACTAATAGACAAGAGCGAGCCATGGCAATAATAATATGGCCCAAACGACTATTTGGATTTGGTAAACTTCGTAAATAGACAGAGCGAGAGCGAGAGGTAGAGATAGAGAGAGAGAGTGAGCGGGAGAGAGAGAGGGAAGTGATGTTGAAAAATTAGCAGCATCATCAGCAAGCGTTCAAGAGACTCGCATATGTTCAAACTTAGGACTGGATAGATATATATATATATATATATATCTGTATATATGTACATATTGAACGAGCCAAGCTTGAATATGATTGTGTTTGGATCGCTGGAGCGTTTCTCGAGTGCGCCATTACAACTTAATTAGTTTAAATTGTTGGAACGTCCGATGGCTCAAATAGCTTCAGCCGCCATTGTGACTACTAAAGCAAAGAAAGAGAGAGCGAGACACACACGCAGAGAGAGAGAGAGAGAGAGCGGGAGAGAGAAATGATAAACAAATTGTTTGAGGCAATTTCCGGTGAAAGAGACGCTGCACATCTAAGCAAATGCACTTGAATATTTAAGTGGCTTGCCAACACTGTTACCGTTTAGACATTTCACTTTCGCACACTGGCTGGCAGGCCACTGGCCAATTGCATGACATGAACTTGCATTTCGCCGCACCATAACCTCAAATTGAGCGCCAGTGCGCAACAATTATGACAAGACAGATCTGATCTAGTGTCAACAATGAAATTGCTGAAAATATCAAACACAATATGTGTAAATAAAGCACATGAGTTGCGACAATAATATATTTCAGAGAAGCTGCGACATGAATGAACGACAACTAATTAACATACATGAAATATGTGTGCATGTATGTGCATTTGTTTGTGTAATCCTTAGAGCCAGTTGTGGGTCAATTGGCTAATTGAATTACTTCAGAAATTATGCAATTCTCAACTAGTTTTGGCAATAGCCTGCCGCATCTTGTTAGGCTGCAGCCGTTGAGAGGCTTTGGAGCATAAAACACTTGAAAGCGATACGATTATGCAGCAAAATATGTGCGTCTGACCGGGCCTCTGCTGCAACCCCCTCCACCCCTCCACCGCACTACTTGTCTGTCTGGGTCTGTCTGTTTGTTGTTGTTTTTGTTACCATGTAAAAAAATTCTCTTCTTTTTTTTTTTTTTTTTTGTAAATTTGTAACGTAATGCTGACCAAGTAGAATTTTTTTTTTATTTCGAACAATTTCTATGCTGCCCGAATTGAAGCAGACAGACGGACAGACAGACAGCAGGGAGCAGAGTTTTGAATGTTGCACTAGAACAGACAGAACAGGAAGGGGGCACAGCAGACATATCCTCAATAGGTGCCGCTCGGGGCACCAGCTGTTTTATAATAATTTTCATCATTTCTGTTTTGCTGTTGTTGCATGTAGGCGAGGTCGTTACAATAAGTGGAACTTGTCTGCACTGCCCTTGAGTTTGTCTAGAACTACCAGAGAGAACGGCGAATGCGGGCAATTGAAATGAAAATTTTGAAACGGGAAATGCATTGGGATTGTACGTATTTCAAATAGTATTAGATCAATTAAAACAGTCTGCCCATAGTGTATAAAGCTTTACTATACTTCGAAATAAAAGTGATACGATTTTAGAGAATCTGCTAAATGAGAAAATTATTTAATTCAATGATTAATAACAAACCCAAATATCTTATCTTCATTATTTTTCTTTTGAATGCATCACATCTCCTTTTGCAACACCATACTCAAATGCAAATTTTCAAGTGTTGAAAAATGTCATTGGCTTGGGGTACAATCGAAAAAATACATAATAATACATTTCTCAACACTTTAATAAATAATATTAAACATATTTTGGTGCAACTGTACATGTGTTGGAAAATGGATAAACGTAGGAATAAAATGAGAGATAAATTAAGAGAAATAAACTTTTATTTATTGACTAGAAATATCATATCTTGTTTGGTATTCTATTCCTATAAAATCTTCTTTTTTAGCAAAAGTTTCTAAATTCTCCTTTAACGTACATCTCCTTTGCAACATCGTAGAGCAATGTTTTCTTGTCGCAACTGTACAAGTGTTGGAAAATGTCTTAGCACACAAAATAACCAATCAAAATAGAACATTTTCTGGTTCTAGGCATGTGTGAATGGCCGTTAGCTGTATCAGATTTCAGCTGTGGTCAATAAACCCGCGTAGCTTGGCAGCCCAAACTGATTGCATAATGGAATTTAAGCTACCATATTTATAGCCATAGGTGTATATGCGAAAGATCTATAACATAATTGAGAATAAGAGCATTTTTTCTTTTTCTGTTGTTTTGTGCCGCGCGCACAGTGTCAAGTCATGCTCCAAAAGTTGTCAACTGTGCGCAGTTGTATTATTCTAAGAAGTAAGAAAAAATAAAATAACACAAACTGGTTGAATTCCAACTGAATCAATGTAATCAGATTTGTGAACAAACGATGGATCGTTAAATCTCTGGGAGCGCAACCAGAAGATAAATACTGAAAATTGTACCAGAAAATATTAAAACGAAAACGAAAAAAACTTAAGGAAAACAAACAGCATTGATTACAACCATCGAAAGGCGAGACAAAATCTCGGCACATGAGATCCGAGCAACTTAATTATGACAATGGATCCATCGTGACATATGCCAATGACAAGGCGTTATGTGCCCAGGACAATGGCTAGCAACAGCTTCATTAGCAACAGGATTCTAGCAAAATGGTGAAAAGGCGACAAAAGTTGAAATTAATGAAAAGTCGCTGACTTTAAAAACATAACACCTAAAAGATACCTGTGCCATCTTTTGACTCGGCAACTACAAAGAAGCTGAGAACCAGCCGAAAATTAACTATATAGTAGTACAAGGAACAGTATCTATTGGTACGCTACCAATTCATGTGAATGCATTCAATAGATAGTTATGGCTGTAATTGAAGTGAAACAAAATTAAAGATACAAAAATGACTTTCATTTTAGTCGCTGGGCCAAAGCCAGAGCCAAACGCATGGAACAATAGCTAATGCCGCATATCGCAGCAGCGGGCGCGGTGGCCCGGGCAAAGGTTCGGCTGTACAGATTCAGATACACGTACACGGTATTCCATGGGTAACACTCTGGGGAATTTGGATACGCATACGCATACTAACAAAAGCGTGTGAATGCGTGCTTCGAATCCGATATTAATCTGGCCATAGACCAATAGCATTGGCCGAAGCCAAACGTTTTCGGGGCGCGCATCAATGGATTTTTAATAAATGGCCAAAGAAAATAATAAATTGCAATTTGAGTCGAAAGTGTGCGACTAGCAGATACCCAGTATTATCTTGTCTCTGCTCTGCTTAGCCCACACTTTGTACATTTTATTTCCGAACAATTTCCAGCTCATTAAGTTGAGATTCCAATGCACTGCGGATGGCTCAAACGTTGCCTTCATATATAATCTTTGGTATAAATGGATCATCGTACACCAGCTAATATGCCCTGTTTTTCAGCATACTCAATGCGTACAGGGTATACAAAATTAATAACAAAAAGCAGCGTAAATGCCTATGAATAGCTAACGATATACGAAATACAAATACGGGACACGTTTGCTGACTTCCAGCTTATCTTGATGCTGTTGGTGGTGGTGGTGCTGCTGCTCCTGGATATTGGTGGTGGCTTTGCGATATCCTATAAAATGGCTGCCGGGTTATCCGCAGGGGAGTATTTGGGCGGGCAGAAGAGGTAGAGGGGGGGTTTAGTTTCGAGACACGATAAGCCTGTTCCATGGCAGCAAACGATACGAATATGTGGCCAGTTAGTTGGGTGGTTTTGGCCCACGGCCCTGGGTCTTAGGTACAGCTTATAGGCCAAAGTTGAAATACATCTTATACAAACACACAGGCACACACACACACACACACACGCACACATATATATATATATATACAGCTGTGTATATGTATATTATATATGAGTGTAATTTTTGGCGAATCATGTTTCGTTCATTTTTCAAAAGAAAAATGTTGCATGCGACGGCGGCAGCTACTTTTACTGCCACTGGCTGTGCCACTCCCGGAGCCACAGCCATTTCCAGAGCTCCCTTCTGCTTGCCGCTTCAGTTACAATTTCAATACCAATCCGGGCCCAACTTGGGCTGTGTTAATAATAAAAGTTCGTGTGCGTGTCAAAGTTTGTTTGAAAGGCAGCCGCTTGGATATGAAATTGGGCGCGGTTCCAGGCAGATTAGCTGAGCAGCCAGCGAGGCCAGAGGCCGCCCCAATGCCAGCGGCTTTATCGATATCAGACAAATGTAGCATATGAAGGTGGAGAAATGTCGAGTTTCAGTCTGGATGCGGGCAAACGATGCCAACGCC